GGAATATCATATTTTCTCTAACAAAGCACAGTCCTCCTTTAAATCAAGGCAACTGCTCACTGGTTATCTGAGTCTACATGATATTGTTTGAGGTGGCTGACAAAAATAAGCACGTCTGCCTGACAATTGTTTTAATTTGACAAACTATGATATTACGTGTTGTACAAAAGCTCTAGTCACATTATCTAACTGTACAGTTTTCACCTTCTCCTAGAAAATATGTGTTCTGTTCAATCTGCCCACTTATGGAAAATTGGATTAGTCCAAATTTTTAGCTATACAAAACGTGCTTTCAGAATTTAGTAAATAAGTTTATTTGAATCTATTTAAACATACATATCCAAAGAAAAAAAACCCAACCTATCCATGCACTATTTTGAATCAAGACCTAATGCAGGTCTGTATGGCTTTTGGGATTCAAAAGGTACTCAAGATATTGGAATGAAATGCTACTATCCTGGAAGTCTAACTCAGACTTAGCAAAGAACAAGGTAATAGGTTATGACTGCTTCTACCACCTCCACTGTACTTATATTTACACAAAGAATCTGGAATTGCTCAGTACACTCCCCTTCTCAAGCAAAGATCACCTTGAGCAGGTTGGTCAGGGTCAGGTCCAGTTGGGTTTTGGATATCTCCAGAGATGAAGACTCCACAACCTCTCTCAGCAATGTGAGCAGCTATTGCCTTGTGTCCCACCAATGGTACCACTAAGAAGCCCTTGTTTTCTTCTCAGCCTCCCCTCAGGTATTCATATACATTGATGAAATGCCCCATTAGCCTTCTCTTCTGCAGGATGGACAGTTCCAGCTCTCCCAGTCTTTCCTCATAGAAGGAAATGCTTGAGAGTTGAGATGCCTCCCCATCTTTGTGTCATTTGGTTGCATTTTCCATGGAAGCTCCCCGCTCCTCTTGTGCTGCAGAGCCCAGAACTGGAAGTGGTTCTGCAGGACAGCTTCACCAGGACTGAGGGGTTTGCACTCGCTTCTCCTCCTAACATATCCCCATGTGTTGCTGGCCTCCTTTGCTTTTCACAAGGGCAGATTCCTATTGTCTTACGAAAGCTCTTTTAAAGATGTTTTAAAGTGCTCTTGGTTTTCACAGAACACTAAGGAACACACTCTCTGGATGAAAATGCAGTAGTGCCAAAGCTGCAGGTGCATGATCTGGCACCAACACTGCAAATAGTGGGAAAACCCAGAAGAAATTGAATGAGAAACCTGAAGAACATGGGGCAAAACAGTTCCAAAAGAGAAGGATCTTCCTCCTGATCCTGTGCTCAGAACAGGGAGAATCCATAAAATTATGAAATCTGTAGGAGACTGAGTAGTGAGGGACCTTTTCTTGAAATATCAAGAGTAAGTTTTAAGAGCTCAGTGCGGGCTGTGGATGAGCACTGTGCAGTCTCACATAATCACAACCGGACAAAGGTGTGACACACCATGTGGCATTGGTGACAAAATGAATCCATGAATGTATGCAGTGTATTCTGAAGTAACAGAAAATATTTCCCAAGCATTAAATGGGCACTGGGGACAAGCAAAGCTTCTTTGAAGCCAGCTCTCAAGCAGAGAGCTTTTACCCAGAGGCTAAATCTTTAGGAACTGGTTATTACTGGCAAATAAACTGGACCCTCTCAAGAAAACTCAGTGGCATTTAGATATTTGAGAAGCTTTCTATATGGCATTCCTATTTATATTTCCAACTCTTCAGTATTTTCATAAATTATACGTGTCAGAATACTGATTTTCTTAGTTAATACATTATTTACATAAAACAAAGTCGAAACAAATTGTTCTAATAGCCTCAACCCTAAACAAGTACGATAAACAGGTCTGTGGTACTTTTTTTTTTGAGTTGTGCTTTTACCAGCTCTCACTCTGTGGACCCAAGCACTAGTTTAGCTTCAATATGGTAACATCTTGATTTTCCTTTCTCCTCAAAATTTAATTCTTTTTGTCAGCCCCAATTATACATATCTGTCCTGGTCCTAACAGAGGCTATTCACAGTTCTCTTTGTCAGTTTCCTTTGCACTTAGGGCTCCTTACTATTCTCCTGCCTGTTCTGCAAAACCATCTAACAAAACAAGTTATGAAGAAAGAGGTGGGGAAGAAGAAAAATAGAATGACATTCTCTATGAAAAATAATATTTTATATGTTAGAATTTTTAAGCAGAGCATTTAAGAAATGTCTTTATGTCAAGCTTCGAATGGAAAAAATATAAGCCAAGTTTAATTATATGCTCAGAAAAATGGTAACATAGAGAGCTAAGATTTAAGCCAAGCAGCAGTACCCAGAACACACTGATGTGCAATGACCATAAATTAAACTTGGAGTGTAAAAGAGGATCCTAGCGAAGGGAAAGGAGTAAGAACAGCCTCCTAGGCACAGCATAGCAACCCATTTAAAGTCTTACTCACATGTATGACTGTGTGCAACCTGTCTGCCTGCAAAATGGGTGATTAGAACTCAGTGAAGCAAAACACATATTCTGACCCTGTGTGTGGGTACTTCCAGAAGCTTGGCACACATGTACTTCTTAATCCCCACAGTTTCTTCTCCCTCCCAGTTCTACCTGTGATAAGCTGACATAATAGAATTCCAGAATTCTCAGTATAAAAACAAGAAAATAATCTATCACAATGAGCGTAGTTGAGCTTCAAAACAACCCACAAGTGAATCTTGCTTCTCACCCATTCTGCTTGCTCCTACCACCAGTAGTCATTCATTCACAGCAAGAAATATTAGCCAAAAACCAAAATACACTAAAAATGTAAGGTTATTTTTGTATTAAATTCTTAAATTAAAACTCAGGGAATGTTGAAACAAGCAAAAATTTCAATTATTCAACCACTTGGGATTAGTGATCTAAGATACACGTGACATTGCTCTGCTAGACATTAACGAGGCTGTTTTCAATATGCCACATTCAGCCAGTTGTCCCATTTTCTAGGCTTAGAGCAACTCGGATCAAGTCTCAGGGAGAATATGAACTCTTGGAAGAGGTTTGTGTTCATGCCAGAAAGCAGAGCAAACAAGCAGAACTCAGAGCTTGCATAGCAGCCCAAGTACGGGCCAGTTACAGCCCTCAGCTGCAGTGCTGGCATCGTTAGCTGATTTCTGATATTTAGGAGGCTTAAATTTCAATATCTAAAAACCAGAGGTCTAATATTGCAGCGGGAGGGGTCGTGCACAGAAGTTATTTAAGCGCTGATATGAAACTTTAATTTGTTGGAACTGTATGTTATGTATACTTTGTCAACAATTATCAAACTCAACTTTTTTAAAACTCCTTTTTTAAAAAATTAATCAATTATTATCAAGCTCAACTCTTGTGCTGGTCATACCACCTGTAAAATCTCACTTTGTGGCAATCACTGTTTGCATTAAAGTTTAAGGGACTTAAATCTCATTGCTGCTGTGTTTTTTTAGGCCCATCTCAAGGCATGGGTCTGTGGGCCCCCACCCCATCAGTCACGGAACCAGATGGAACCAGGCCTGAACCATGGGCACACCAGGTTGGGCTCACACTGCAGCCTTTCCTTGCATTTGTTGGTCAGGTTTGTGTCATCATATGTTCCTGTGAAGTGTTCCTCATTTATGTCATTTTGCATCTGAAAAGTTCTTGACCAGAAACAGAAAAAATTCAGTAACGTTTTTAACCCTTGAAATTCATTGAAAACATTCCCAATTCTTTCCCTGCCTGAAGAGCAGCAAAGTGGTAACTTAAAGTTAGAAAGAAGTGATGGAGACTTCTATCTTAGTCAGCCATGCTGATGAATATATCCTTCTGGTTCATGCATTAAGGGCTGTGGATCGTTGGAGCCCCTGTAAGTAGCTTCTGGATGGGAAAGTCTCATCCAGGAAAGAGCCAATAATGTGGCTCACATACAGAACAGACTCACAGTTCCTTTCATGAAGGAAAACCTGCAGCACAGTGCTGTGAGCCATAGTCCCTATCTAGGTGTAGGTGGGCATTTGTGTGCAGAAAAGCTCCAACAGAACTGCCCTCTGACACTGCAGCTTACTTGGATATCAGTATGGCTGGTGGTGCTCACATTCTCACACGTTCCTGACACAGGCTAAAGGCAATTAGCATAACAGAAAGAATCAAGCTTGGAGCTGTTCTGTTTTGTGAGGGATATCCTAACACCTCTACCAACTCCTATGTTTCCTTCCTAGTTCTGTAGATCTCAGAAGTTACTTGTATTAACCTAGGATCAGTGCTTGCCTCTTGCACTCAGCAAAGCTAATAGCATTTGAAGAGTTGTGGGAGAGTCCTCTCTACGTGTACCTGGCCATTAAGGGCAATAAGTTAATGAGTAAGCGATGGAAACCAATCCTGGTCAGAGCCACTGATCAGCAGGGCCATCTGAGAGCATAGAAAGGGTGATCTGGCCAAGGACTCCTAAGGGGTCTGCTCTTCTCTGGGTTATGTGCTCAGCTCTGTTGCAAAGGGGGAGGTGGGGGTTGTGTCCCCATCTAGGGCAGAGACCTTAGGCAGCCCGGCAGGAGGGGTGTGGGGCAGCAGCAGCTGCAGGAGGCTGCCACACTCTGCTCTCTGTGCACTCCTCACACCATCCCTTCTCAGCTGCTTGTAAAACCTAACAAATGTTTCCTTCATCCACTGCAACTTAAAGGTGCCAAATTATCTTACCAGGGAACACGGGAGCATCAGAAAGAGCACTCACCTTTTAAGCATCACAGAGGCTTAGTAATGAGCTGTAGCAATGTTTTACATAGGATCACAGTTAAGTCCTGGTCCTCTCAACTTCCCATTTATTGAAGATGGCTCTATTTGGTATGGCACTGAGCACATATTTCAACTCTGTGATCCACAGCTGTGACTTAGTTAATGATCTCAATAAATCCTACTTAAACAGAGACAAGAAGAGAATTATGCAAATGCATTTCTGTACCACATCTATTGATAACTGGAATCGTACCATAAATGAGCCTCAGCATATCAACACCAGTAACTTTCTTTTTATAGCAGATATGAAAAATGGGGTAGTTTAAGGAATTTTATTTCAGTCGAGCTACATCTGCAGAACGTGTAGGAAAAGTTGACAGTTTTTGTAAGAAAAGGAAACATGCAGTGGGCATATACACAAAGGGGGTGGTTAAAACTGTAATAGCTGACAAGATTTCTGAAATACAGCCGTGAAGGAGATCACAAATTACATTTCCAAAGTGATTTTTCTAAAATAATGATCAAAGTCTCAGCACAGCATTGTGGCTTTCTGAGCAGCAGTCACACTTGGCAGCTGGATAAAACGTCTTCCACCAGTCTCTTGTAGACCCACGCATCCCCTCTGAGCCTCTGTCTTCTGATACCAACTGCTTCATTCTTACTGAGCTGACACGCTTCTAGCTCAAACTTCATAGATTCTTTGCCAAAATCTGGCTTTGTTTGGCATTTCAGGGTGTAGCTGTACAAAGCAAAGGAGAAGCAGAATAATCATTTAATCATGTTTCAAAGCTAGCATTGAACAATTTTAAATGAATAAAAGTACTTCATTGAAGTACTCCACTGGCATTCATATTACTGAGAAAACAGCCCAGGATGAAGTCAGCTGAGAGCTGCGAACACCCAAATCCAACAGTGGTACCTTCAGAGGTCCCTTCCAACTCTGAGGATTCTGTAATTCTGTGATCTCTTGGCCAAATATTTGTGTGTTTTAACTACCAAGAATGAGTGTTACAGTTACACACAGTCTCTCTCCCAGTTGTACAGCTCACCTTTTGTACTTACATTTTTACAGGGGCAGACAACACTCACATCGGCCTCTAAGTGCTACATCATCATTACTGCTTCATATTCATCAGAGAGCTCTACGTGAGCTCATTTAACTCATTTAACACTGTTTTGCATCGTGTGGACAATTTTTCATGCACATATCCATTTACGTTCCCTATGCTTTTTCTAAAATTTTTGTATTTTACAGAGTGGGGCAGAGAAAGCAAATTAAAATATTTGTTTGTTTCAAGGGCTATGGAATTGACTATTTAGGCACATACAAGGTGAAGCCTTTCTGTTTTCCACTTACCCCATCTTTGAAAGGACAGAGATTATTTCATTCAGCACTTGGTCTGGATTCAGTAGTTGAGTCATGGTAACATCATAGTGTGCCTAAAAGCAGTCAGCTCATTAAAAAAAATTAGAATTGTAGAAAATATCTTTTTCCTAAAACTGAAGATGTTACGAACCTTTTCACGCTGAAAGCTGCAGAACATCCAACCATACAGACAAATGCTTCAGCTCCCCGGTATGATCATCATAAGACTCTGGAACAACAGCAGGAACGCTAACCAACAACTTCTCCACAACTAATATCAAAGCACTGCAAGTTCTAAAATCAGCATAGAATCCAAAGCAGCAGAGATGGGCCAGGGAAGCACAGAGACAGGTATGTAGCCAGAAGTGCTCACTTGACAGGATGGCAGAAGACAGGTATGAACCCATGTTTCGAGTATCCTATGACGCTGCCCCTACCACACAGCTGGGGAATTGCGCGTGCTGTGTTGCTTTGCTAAGACTGAGTGCTTCAGATGTCAAGGAACACACAAGGTTCCATGAAGCTTTTCTAGGGATTTTCTAGCCCTGAAGTATCATAGTGCAAAAAAAAAAAAAAAAAACAACAAAACAACAAGGTACTTTCCAACCTTAAGTTAATGGTTGCAGTTTTGTTTGTTTGTATCACATCTAATACTACACACAACAGGCATGTCCACTAAGTAACTTCTGCAACTTTCAGACATCCACGTCTAAAAAGAGACACAGTACACCAATCGTCATGTCACAAATACACTAATACTGCAACTGTACAAAGACGGATCAGAGAAGGCAGGAAGGTAAAACAGTTTGGGAAATGAACGTAGGTTGTGGATGTAAAAGGCAGACAGAGGAAAAAAAGAAAAAGAAAGTTCTTCAATTTCCTGTTCAACCTAGAACACGCAGGACTACTTTCTGTAACATCTGCAGCAAAAATTACATAAAGTTTCATCTTCCACTGTAGTAATCTAGTGCCAATAGAAGTGCATCCATAATAGAAGTGCATTCCATAATGCTATGGGCAAGGGAAACTGATGCAGAATGATAAAAGCTTTTAGAGATAAAAAATCTCACTTAGGTTTGTTTCCAATTACTCAACATCCTGAATTATTGGTGCAGTCTGGACACTTGTCAAATTAGCTGGTAGGTTTGTAGTCCCAAGTGTCTTGAACTTGTAACAGCGCCATCTTGCATGCAACAAAACGCCAATTGGATAAGCTTCCAGATCAGAATACAGAAGCTGAACTGCATTTAACCAAACTGCAGAACACAAAGTAATCCTCTTATTATAGACACGCTTGCATGCATCAACCATGAGACAGCTGAAAACAGGATCTTGCATCACAGAAACACAGCAATAATTAGGACAGCAGTCCTAGACTTCAGGAGATCCAACTTTGACCAGTTCAAGGGCCTAATATCCCATGAGCTAGAGCACTGGAATGTAAGGGAGTCCAATAGAGCTGGTAGACATTCAAGCACCACTTCTTCCAAGCTCACAGTTGGGGAATCCTTATGGGTAAGAAATCAAGCGCAGGTGGCAGGAAACCTGCAACGATGAGCGAGGAGCTCAAGAGAAATCTCAAATGGAAAAAAGGAAAGTCTGTGAAATGTGAAAAAGGGTCTGTCTGCTTTGTAGAAATATAGAAATGTTGTCAGGACGTGCGGGGCTACAAGAAGGAAGGCTAGGACACTTCTGGAATTATATCTGGTGAGGGAGGTCAAGGACAACAAGAAAGGCATCTGTAAGTAAATCAATAGCAAAAGGAAGATGAGGGAAAGTGAGGTCCCACTACCAAATGCAGTGGGTCCTGGCAACGAAGGGCAGTGAGAAGGTGGAGTTACTGAATGCTGCTTTTGCTTTAGTCTTGACTGATAAGACTGCCCTGCAGAAACCCAGACTCTGAAGGTAAGAGAATGAGTCGGGAGAAAGGAAGACTTCCTGATGGTCGAGAAGGATCTGATTAGAGATAGGCTAGGCAAACTCAATGCACACAAATCCATGGCCTTTGATGGCATGCACCCACAAGCAGCAAGGGAGCTAGAAGAAGTGACTGCTGAACAACTCTCTTTCATTTTTAAAAGGCCAGAGAGAACAGGATAGGTGCCTGAGGACTGGAGGATAGTCATGTCAGTTCACTCTTCAAAAAGGGCAAGAAGAAGAGCCAAGAAACCATGGGCCAGGAAGCCTCACTTCTGTCACTGGGAAGATGATGGAGCAGTTTATTCTAGATGTCATCTCCAAGCAGTGGAAGAAAAGAGGGTTATCAGGACTGGTCAACATGGGCTCACCGATGGGAAATCATGTTTGACTGATCTGGTACCATTTTATTTCATACATCCACATTTATTTATCCACCCTGTTTATTTTACACATCCACAAGTCTAATGAGATGCATCCCACTCCTAATGGCATTGGCTGATACAATCTTCAAGCCACTCTCGATGATATAAGTTGTGGCAATCAGGTAAAGTCCCTGGAGACTGGAAAAAAGGTAACATCATGCCCATATTTAAAGAGGGTAAAAAGGATGACCCGGAGAACTACCGACCTGTCAGTCTCACCTCTGTGTCAGGAAAAATCATGCAACAGATCCTCCTGGAAGCTAGATCTAGACAGGCTGGAGAGTTGGGCAGGGAGGAATTCAATGCAATGTAACATGGGCGAGTGTAGAGTCCTGCATCTGGACAAAAACAACCCCAGGTAGCAGTGTAGGCTGGGACAGACCTGTTGGAGAGGAGAGCAGGGGAAAGGGACCTGGAGTCCTGATGGACAGCAGGATGACCATGGGCCAGCACTGTGCCCTTGTGGACAAGAAGGCAAAAGGCATCCTGGGGTGTAATAGAAGGGCTGTGGTCAGTAGGCGAGAGGCTCTCCTCTCCCACCACTCTGCCCTGGTGAGACCGCATCTGGAATATTACGTCCAGCTCTGGGCCCCTTTGATCAAGAAGGACAGGGAACTGCTTGAGAGAGTGCAGGACAGAGACACAAAGATGGTGGAAGGAGCGCAACATCTCCCTTACAAGGAAAGAATGAGGGAGCTGGGTCTCTTTAGCTTGAAGAAGACTGAGGGGTGACTTCATTAATGTTTATAAATACGTAAAGGGTGAGTGTCAGGGAGAATGGAGCCAGGCTCTTCTCAGTGACACCCAGTGATAGGACAAAGGGCAGTGGGCGCAGGCTGGAACACAGGAGGTTCCACATAAATATGAGAAAAAAATTATTTAGGTGAGCGTAACAGAACACTGAAATGGGCTGCTCAGAGAGGTTGTTGGGTCTTCTCTGGAGACATTCAAAATCCACCTGGAAGTGTTCCTGAGTGACCTAATATAGGAGCTTCCTGCTCCAGCAGGGGGGGCTAGAATAGATGAATCTTTAGCGGTCCCTTCCAACCCCTGACATTCTGTGATTCCATTCTAAGGCAGATAGAAGGCAAAGAGGTGATACAGGAGAATCAGCATGACTTCACCAAGGGCAAATCCTGCTTGACCAACTAGCGGCCTTCCATGATGGCGTCACATAGTGGACAAGTCAATGGACAAGGGAAGAGCCACTGATATCACCTATCTCAATTTCAGTAAGGCCTCTGATATGGTATCCCACAACATACTTCTCTCCAAATTGGAAAGGTATGGATTTGATGGGTGGACTGTTCAGTGGACAAAAAAGGGGACGGAATCTTCAGCTGGGTCTGATAGAGTAAGGGGAAATGGTTTCAAGCTCAAAGAGGGTAGATTTACATAAGGAAGAACTCTTCTGTGGTGAGGCACTGGAACAGGCTGTCTCATAATGAGGTGGATGCCCCATCCCTGAAGACTCTCAAGGAGAGGTTGGATCAGGCCCTGGCCAACCTGATCTAGCTGTGCATGTCACCGTTCATTGCACGGGACTTGGACTAGATGGCATTCAGAGGTCCATTTCCAACTCTAAGGATTTTATGATGTCATGACCAGCTGGGTAGATGAGGAAAGAGCAGCGGCTGCTGTGTACTTTGAATTCAGCAAGACACTGAATTGACATTGTCTCCCATAACATCCTCATAGGTAAGCTTAGAAAGTGTGGGATAAATACTGGAGAGTGAGGTGGATTGAGAACTGGCTGATAAGCCAGGGCTGTGATCAATGGCACAGTCTAGCTGTGCCTCCCTTATGAGGAAAGGCTGAGAGACCTGGGGCTGTTCAGCCTGGGAAAGAGAAGGTTGAGAGGGGATCAACGTTTGCAAATATCTGAATCATAGGTGTCAAGTGTGTCAAGGTGTCGGATGATTTTCAGAGGTGATCAACATCAGGACAAGAGGCAATGAGTACAAACTGGAACACAGGAAGTTCCACACAAGCATGAGAAATAACTTCTTTACCTTGAGGGTGTCAGAGCCCTGGAGCAAGCTACCCAAAAAGACTGTGAAGTCTCCTTCTCTGGAGATATTCAAAATTCCCCTGGATGTTTTCCAGCACTATTTAATGTAGAGAACTTGTTTTAGCATAGGCTGGACTAGATGATCTCCAGAGGTCTCCCTTCCAGACTCCTTGTTCCTGTGACTGTACTGGAGATGTCCCTAAAAGCTACAGCTCCAGAAGACAGCTAGCTGGAGAGATGCGTCAATTTCTTTTATGGAACTGTTTATGCCTTCATAACAGCCTTGTTTTCACATGAATCACAATTTTTTTGAACATGTCGTCTACTGATTCAAATTTAAATTCCTCTCAAGTGATTTATATGATTCTGTTCACTTCATGGAAAAGTCAGTGTATGCAGATTCTAAAAATCTAAAACTGATGCTATATATCGACTTTGCCTGGTGTAAGTTTCATGCAAAAGTGTTGTATGCAGTGCACTAAGTAATTATTATTTTTAAGGCTATTTAAAGACTTAGTAATAAAAAAAATATGGCTTGGCTGCAGAGACATCAAAACTTTGAAAATCAAAAGTCACACTGACCGCATCAGAAATTCCTTCACCAGCTGAATTTATTAATCTTTAAATCTTTAATCTGGATTCTATTGAATTCCAGAAACGATGCTAGAGAACTCCTTTCCAAGTGTATCACTCCTGAACTAAGGAAAACAGCCAGCAAGGAATGTTATCAAAGCTCCCTCAAACCAGAGGGAAAGCTAGCGGTACCTCTATAGAAATAACATCATTCAATATTTTCAGCTAGGACTCCTTTAAACCCATCCTGCATCCTCCTCCAGTTTGGAGAGATGGCATGCAAAAAGCAATGGTCAGCCCTCTCCCATGACGTGCTGGTGACTCACCTGAGCTGAAGCCAGCACTAAATCCCTGGGCAATAACAGGGCCATTATATCAATAGAAAAACAGGACGAGCAAGTGCGATTTTCTACAGAGCGCAGGCAACTCAGATCACAGAATTTGTCACAAGGCCATTCCTAATAGTATTAAGTGTTTTCAAGAGCTATCACTCCCATAAAATATTTCTCTAGCAAACATACCTTAAGTTTTCTTGGCCCATGTCTGCTGAATCACTTCCTTTTTTGCCTGCTGTAAGCACCGTAATCACTTTATCCAGGCCTCTTTGAAGACTTCCAAGTCGTTTGGCCTTTCTCTTCTTTTGGCTGCTCTCCACATGAGCTAGGTTGAGATCTAAATCCACAGAATGACACCTGTTACAAAACCAAATTAATTAGTTACTTTTCCTCAGCAATCAGACTGTAGTTATTTCATATGCATTATTAGAATATGATCAGATCAGAATGAAGAAAACAAAAGGAAGTGTTGTGTATTATGAGAGTTTCTGCTTACATGTCAGTTGAGCTTTAAGCTCAGAGATGCATTTTAAAACTGCAGCACTCAGGGAAAATGGAACAAGATGGGATTTATGTTATGGAAAACAGGAATGCATTCTGAAGATGAGTGACTTCTAGTTTTAATTTATTTTATTTATTTATTTATTTTTTCTGCTTTCAGTGCTTCCCAGGGAATACAGCAAGAGGTTTTAGGAAAATTTTAACCAAGAGAAAGGAAATACAGCTTGCTGTTGCAAACAATGTCTCCTGGGCTGTTCACTGATTAAGGCACCACTGCTCTGAACCAAAAACATATATAGATAACTGTACACTTCCCTCCTCTCAGGAAGAATCTCCATTGCTGTCAGTTCATATGTATTTGTTGATGTTTTGGGCTTCTTAACTGCGATGACTGTTGTGCACTGGCTCTCTGAAAGAAAGTATCCAAACCAAAGCAGGTACGTTTCTGCAGTAGAGGATTTACTTTTCTTCAGTCGGGATTTCTCACGATTAGCAATTTTTTTTTTTAAAGCCAGCCTCCTATCTATCTCTAGTCTGCATCTTCAGAGTGATAAAATAGGTTTTTACTAGAACAACAAGACCACAACAGAAAACTGAGACTGATCCCCCCAGAGCTCTGTAATTCAAAAGTCTTTGAGGGGCTGGCGCAGTGCAGTACAGCAGGTTTGGAAGGGATGAGGACCAGAACTGGTTTCTTGTTCTGCTACTGGTCTCAGGACAAACACTGAGGAATTTACTATGTCAAAAGGTTGCATTCCACATCAAGCACATTTTCCTTTATGTGAAAGGTGCGAATTGCATCACCACAGTTAATACTACATGTTGAGTAACGGCCTAAAAAGTTCTATTGTCCACATGTTGGAAAAGAGCTCTGTAGAGCAGCTTTGAATTTGTGGAGACAACTCAATAAAGCTCGAAGATTCAGCTTTCCATAGCAGCAGTTGGCCCCAGACAGCCATGTTTTCCCAACACTTCCAAGAGATACTTCCACCGTTTATTGTTATATCTCTAAGTACTGCTTTAACCTATCCTGAATGTAAGAACTTCCAATAGATCAACAAAAGTATTTTAATTTTTTAACTCTCAGGAATATCTAACAAAAACGAGCTGAAATCACACTTCTGCACTTCTCATGTAAGAAATACCTACTTTTACTTTTTAAACTTACCGTAAGACCAACATCAGAAGTTACCACATGCAGTCTTAAGACAAAAATAAAACCTGTGTGAACAACTAGCCTTTGTAATGCACTTCGTTGAACACTTAACAAAGGAAAGAGGTATGTTCAGTAACTCTTAGTAACACATTAGCCTGCAGAGATCGAGCATTTCTGAACAATATTCCCTAGCACTTGGAACAGAAGAATCTTCAATTGTAAAAAATGCTTAGTACTTTAAAGGGCAGAGTTAACACGTGCAGTATCAGCACTAAGGATGAGGACAAACATCTTTGTAACTCAGAGGAGCTGCTATAGCATGGACACATTTCTGGTCCATCACGTAAATGCAAGTGTTAACATTGCTAGCCTAAGTATTTTCAATGCCACACCGAGTAGATATGTGAAAGTACAGGTTACATTTCATTTAGAAGCAAGATGCAATAAGAGCACAGTTAAGTAAAAGCATACCCTTCTCTTTCACTCAAAATAGCAGCCCAGAAAAAAACAAAAAAACATAATGAACGTTGAAGAAATTTTCTACTACATCTCCACGAGAAGTGGAACCACGTGCTAGTTTTAGGAACACAGCAATTGTCTCATTATCTGAATGCATCTAAAGGCACGCTCCTTGTGAGAACTTCCGTAATTAATAGACGAGTAACCTGCCCTGACATATGGTTAAACCACTTGCAGTGCACTGTCTGCACTGTCAGATGTCATATGTGACTGCCTGTACCTGTCCATCTCACATTTGGATGACTTGTCTGGAAGGATGCCACGAAGGACAGGATCAAAGGCCTCCCCGAAATCTAGAGAGATTACATCCTCTGCCTTCATACACAAAGTGAGTGGCCTTAACACAGAACAAGATTTGACGACCAAGACTGGCAGCACACATCTCTCTTACAGATGTTTAGGCCACCAGGCTGTTTACCAGGCAGAGCTTTAGCACACAGAAGCATTTTTACCAGAATGTTGTGCTGAACTCTAACACTTACCCCCTGGCTTGCTGGCTGTGCTGTACTGGCACGTCGTTTGTGATGGAATTCTTAAGTGGATGCGCTTGCCACGAACCTTCCTGGATTGAATCAAGAGATAGGTTGCTAACATCCGGTCATAATTCCACCTGAAAACAAGAGTATTTAGATCTCTTCAGAGAAGTTGTCAGTACAAAGAAAGCTTAGCGTTCTAAACGTTTCTGCATGTCTGGAATATTTTCCCCTTGATGTGCAACCTTCATGTCTGATCACATTAGGCTAGTTTCAGACCTTAGCTGCTCACACAACAAGTTTAAGATAAAGAAGCAGACTGCTCTTGTTTCTGCTTGAGAGCAGTACAATTGCTGAAAGTGAAGAGTAAAGCTGGTGCCAGAATGTCTCTACTGAAGTGAATGGCAAAGCTCCTATTAATGCATTTTGCACAGTATTTCATCTGGACTCCCATTTTTGGGGGTCATGTTTCAGCCCAGCCCCAAGGAGCATCAACGTTCAACTTGATTTTCAGCAGCTTTTTGACGACTATGAGAACCATGGATGAATTGCTTGATAGACTCACAGTGTAGTACAATTATAAGGCATTAAAAGTCCTTTAATAAAGGACTGTGAAAATATCACAGACTAACATGGAAGAACTTCTTCCCCTTGTAGGTAGATTGTTCTTATTATTTTCTGTACCTGAAAAAAAGTAGAAACACCTCTCCTGGGTAAAACTTACGTTTTATATCTATTCCTACTAAAGTTATATGGAAATCTTAACAATCCTTCCAAATTCTACCACTTTCTATTTAATAGAAAGACAATTCAATTTCAAGAAACAATTTTCAGATTCAGGTTAAAGCCAGAGTACACATCGTGTTTTAAATCTCTTCTGCAGCTTGGAACGTCATTAGTGACATTTATACAGTATCTCTAGAAGCACTCAGTTTAGCTTTCTCATTTATTTTCAAAAGTTACTGGAATGGATTCCTTTCATAAGGATTTTAACATGGTAGAAAATAACAGAAAGGCTTAGAAAACAAAATTAAAGGAGAAAAATAGAATAAATGTGAACTTCAGAAATGTAGTTATTAGCTACAGATAGACTACACGGAGTTCAGCAGGGGTACCTTAGCTCTGAAAGGTATAAAATACTTCATGTTTGAGAATAAGCGAGCATTAGAGTCTGTTAACACAGAAAGGTTATTTACTGTAGGAATGAGCTTAAATACAATGAGTTACATACATTTATTACCTCTGATATTAATGCCGATATACTCTGCTCTGGTTGTGAAACACAGGAAGTTCTGTTACACAGTCTTCATCAAGGTGCCCCAGCTGCAAGAACAAGACCTATACTGAAGGAACAGCTTCCAAGTCATCTCACAGAGCCAATATCACCACGATAGTCTTCTGATATGCAGCAATCGAGTCAACAGTTAGCCACCATTTCAGATTTTCTATTTTAAATAGTTAGTATCAGGGCTAAATACTGCAAGGAGTAAACAGAATCACAGAATTGTAGGGGTTGGAAGGGACCTCCAGAGCTCATCGAGTCCAACCCCCTGCCAAAGCAGTTCCCTACAGCAGGTCGCACAGCTCGGCATCCAGGCAGGTCTTGGACATCTCCAGAGAAGGAGACTCCACCACCTCCCTGGGCAGCCTGTTCCAGTGCTCTGTCACCTCACTGTAAAGAAGTTCCTTCGCACATTTTGTGTGGAACTTCCTATGCTGCAGTTTCTGGCCGTTTCCCCTTGTCCTGTCTCCACTCACCACTGAAAAGAGTCCGGCCTCGCCATTCTGCCCCCCACACCTCAGATACTGATAGACCTGGATCAGGTCCCCTCTCAGTCTTCTTTTCTCGAGGCTGAACAGACCCAGTTCACTCAGCCTTTCTTCATAGGACAGGCCCTTCACCATCTTTGTGGCCCTCTGCTGGACTCTTTCCAAGAGATCCCTGTCTTTTTTGTACTGGGGAGCCCAGAACTAGGTGCAGTACTCCAGATGAGGCCTCACCAGGGTAGAGCAGAGGGGGAGGATCACCTCCCTCGACCTGCTGGACACGCTCTTTTTAATGCACCCCAGGATGCCATTGGCCCTCTTGGCCACAAGGGCACACTGCTGGCTCATGGCCGACCTGTCGTCCACCAGGACACCCAGGTCCCTCTCCGCAGAGCTCCCCTCCAGCAGCTCATCCACCAACCTGTACTGGTGCACGCAATTATTCCTCCCCAGATGCCAGACTCTACACTTGCTTTTGTTAAACCTCATCCGTTTTTTTTCTGCCCAGCTCTCCAGCCTGTCCAGGTCTCGCTGAATGGCAGCACGGCCTTCAGGCACGTCAGCCAATCCTGCCAACTTCGTGTCATCAGCAAACTTGCTGAGGGTGGCCACCATCCCCTCATCAAGGTCACTGATGAAGATGTTGAACAAGACCGGACCCAGCATAGACCCCTGAGAAAGAGTCACCAAACTTCAGCAACTGGTCCCTCTGTGGCAACAGGTTTTGAATTCAAGTACAAAAGCCTGTCAGCAGATGAAATTTTCACGAGAGCAGAAGTTACACCTCTATCCCTCCTTAATTATTCAGTTGCATGGCATGCACAGCACACGGTGGTACCACCAGCACAGCTGTTCTTCAGGGAAACAGTGGCACCCATTGGCCAGCAGCAGCCATTGGCTGCAAATACACAGCAACTTCTCAGTATCTGCAGCAAGAATCTCCCTCACACACCCAGTTCCCAGCCCCACCCCAACCCCGCTACCCCAACCTCTCACACAGGTCAGACAATTGAGAGATAAGGAGGACAAGCACAGTTCCAGAGACTCACAGAATGGCTTGAGATGGAAGGGACCTTAAAGACCATCAAGCTCCAAGTTGCAAAGTTGCAACTCACCAGATCAAACTGTCCGGGACCTCATTCAACCCAGCCTTGATTACCATCAGGGACGAGACATCCCTACCTCCTGTTTTATCCACCGCACCTCTCAGCATGGGGCTGCCTGCAAACTTTCTGAAGGTACTCTCTAGTTCCATTCTCTCTGTCACTGACAAAAGTATTGAGGGCGCCAAAATGGACCCCCGAGAGTCACCACTTGTCAGCAGCCTCTGAAGAAATGTATTATCACTCCTATTCTGTGAGGATGCCAGTGGTCCAGAAAAGATTCCAGAAAATACTTAGGCTTCTTCGAGTGTGCGTACTTACTGGGTATTTACTTTGCCACTGAACAGCATCAGAATAACCTTGCATGAGCCAAGGGTGATTTAACAGGTGTTTAACTGTAATCTGCTTCTTTAGGTCTACCTAGTGGGCAGCAACATTCAAGCTGTTACTTATATCATCAAGAAGAACTGGAGACAGTTATTCTTTTCCTAAGAACTTCAAGGTGCCTAGAAGCACAGATAGAGACCAGCGGTATTTATTCACTTCACCAAAAGGAAGGCCAAACACCTGAGCTGTGAAGAACAGTTACTGTAACCATAGGTTCTCTAAATGTTCCACCAGGATTTTGTATTTGAGACTGAGTAGATACAGCCCAAAGGCATACTTAGTACGTTCAGCTTCCTTTATGAAACATCTTTTGTTTACAAATTGCTTTTAATTATACAGCACAATTAAGAACATCCAAATGCAAGCTGCTTGAAGACTGTTTAATTATTAAAACTGTAATTATTTCTATAACCATTAACTAGTACTACGTTATTATTTGAGAATTTTCAGCACAAGGCAATGCTAACCTTTTCTTCAAGGATATCAGGCGTGGAACAATTTAATTTGTTTAAACACCGCATATTTTCTAAGCACTCCATCAGTGTTTTGAGCTTATGCAACAGCATTTTGTACATCAATCTGAATAGAAGCAGCCCTTTTACCTGTAGCAGTTGGTTAAGTAGCAGCGTGCTGCTAGGTGAAAGCCATTTTGGAACAGTGTATTTTCCTCTCTGCAATAAAAAAAGTTATTTTCTTAACTAAAATAAGAGAGGATTGAGAATGAACCTTGAACAACTAGCTCAAAAGGAACTATTAAATTATTTGGATGATATTGACGTCTCTTTTCTTTCAAAGCGTAGGAACAGAGATTACAAACTCTGCTTTAAGAACAGCTTGAATAAATTTAATGGTAAAAATTAACACGTGCTTGGCTGAGGGCAATGCTGGAAGGGAAACTGCTCACAAGAGCTACAAAATGCCTAAGATCACACCAGAAATACTTTGTTCTAACAACAGTTATGGCACATAGTCAATTTCCTTAAGTACTTCCCAAATGAAGCGATGTGGAGCATTACAGGGAAAAGAACACTGAACACAGATGCTATGATCCTGATTAGAGTCAAGCAGTAGACTTAAACCAATTCTGAGTTTTAGATTCCAGGATATTTCAGGATCTGTAACGTGCGAAAGTCAATTACACAACAATGCCTAGGTGTCTGCATTTCAAGCACTTCTCAGATCACAGCCACATACAATTAAAACAAATTCAGTGCAGAAATAGCAAGCCAGTATCTTAATACTTGTGAGATTATCCATTTTTTACTGCATTCTGACTCAGTTCTGAAACTTGCTCATCCCAGTTCACTTAAACAAGTTCCACCAGTTCAAGCAATGCAGCCCTCAGCTCCTGTGTGCATCAGACAGATAGAACTAAGTGGTGCAGAAACAATCTTGGACAGCTTCAAGAGCTCCATTCTGCTAACAAACTCTCAGTCCAAAACTGTTCACAATTTTAAGGAAATGTACACCTGAAGCAGTTGTATCATTTTCCATTTGCCACGTTCTGCAAATTGGAGTGTTGATTAGCACAAAGGATTTTCTGCAGTCCTGCAGAAATGGACAAAGTCCTAATTACAAAGGGACAAAGGCTCAATGCACAACATAGTTCACACCAGAATAAAAAGCCATGTCTCTTGATTAACACGCTCAGGTTGTTGTGTGCTCTGAAAGGAAACAGAACGAACTACTGAATTCAAAGGCAATCAGTGGGGTCCCTACATTTCCTCCTGATTCTGGAAGAGGAAATTCTGATAGTAGATGCAGAACTTTGCTCTTCCTAGACATGAGAAGAGCTGGCATTCAATAACATTAATTTCTGGTAAATCAAACGATGTATTTATATCTTTACTACAGGTAGTAATAGGAAGCAGCCAGTTGAAGAACCAGATACAAAAATTAGCCCATTGGGAAGTAAATACTTCTCCTTAAACTCTCCACGCTATCACATTATATAATCAGGCTACATAGGCCAACCAAGTGTAGAACCAAATCCACAAAATACTGGTAGACAAAGCAGCAAAAAAAAAAAAAGGGGACAATAGTCAGCAGACAGGCCTTTCCACACACAGTACAGCTCAGCATGTTCTGCCATCAGAAAAGCAAGGCCTCTTGTCATGCTCAGCTATTTCCCTTCTCAGTGTATTCTAGCACCATCGATACCTCCTGTTATCCTCCTGTAGAGTGCCATCACATTGTCATCATCAAAAGGAAGAAACCCACACAACAGAGCGTACCGCAGTACTCCCATGCTCCAAAAATCTGCCTAAAAAATAAAAGGACAAGTTTACAAACCTGAAGCACCTAAAATGCCTTACTGACAGATTGTATTGCCTGCCCTTGCCAAAGGCCACACACAGCCTATGAAAAGCTGGCTCTTTCCCTCACGAAAAAAACCTTATGGTTCCAGAGAAAGCATATGACCCTAATTCAATTGTTCTTCCACTCAACTTAAAGCACTACTAAAACCAATATCTTCATCTTAGCTCATCACCCTTCTGCAGTACCTTATACCTACAAGGATTTCACTGGCAAAAACGAAATCAAACCCATCACAAAGGATTTGGCACAGTTACATGTTACTGGCTACAACGAGAGCTGTCAGCAGTCAGCTGTGAGGCTCTGCTGCTGTTCTCTTTATGTACAGGCACAACAAGGTTCGTACACCTCACAATGCCATTCTCACTTTGACTGTAAAGAAAAAGGAGGCTTGAGAAGCAGTCTGTGGAAAACAAATAAAGCAAGAATTAGAAGCCATCAACAGCGGTGCAATGGTACCTGAAAGAACTGCTCCATCTTTAACAGCAGAGCAATTCAAGAAGTATGAGGGCATTTCAAACCAGACCAGTTTGGACAGATTAACAACTGCAAGTATTGGGTTCCAAAGTTCTAGACATGAAATCAAAGCTGGAAAAACTCTTCACGTTTTCGTCTCTCAATTTTTAGTACATTGTGCATTACAATGGAAGCAAGTCTTCACACGCAACTTGGAAGCTAAAGACAAGTCTAACAAAACACGTAAGATCCTGAGACCGCACAAAAGTTTGACAAATGATGGATAATTAACAGAGCAAATTGCTCTTTCAAAAACTGACTAATAGAAGGAGATCTCTGAAGTTGCTGTTTCATAGAGCCCCAAAGTAGGGAACAATTGGTGGAGACAGATGAGGATTAGCCAGAGACAAACCAGCCAGCTGTGTGAACTGCGGCCCATTGCACTTTTCAGTCTGTGGCCACTGACAGCTTCTGAGAGCTGCTGAGCAACGCAACCCAGCAGAATTCAGGAGGGGAACCAAGTGAGCGTATCTGAGCTCCACTGCCTTTAAACACTCTCTGGGGAGGGAAAGAGGGGAGAGGTGTAAAACAAACAAACTCTGGTCTGCATACCTCTGAGCCAATATAGGCTTTGCCCTGGATTAGCTCTGGTGCTGCACATGCTGGGCTTCCACAGCACGTGTTCAGGTGGTAATCAAGGCCTCCCTGGAATAACACAGAAAATAGAAGAGTTTGCTTTAACAGAGTTCATGCTTTCTGTAATGACACTTCAGAAGCCTCAGAGGCTTCTTCTCCTGGGCATACTTTCATTCATTATATATTTGGCTTTCATTCAATAGGTGACCTCACTAAGCAAATATTGTCTAAGACCATGAGCACTGTACAACTATACAGATCCCAAGCTGCTCACTTATCTTATGTATCCTTGGCATGATGCATTATTTTCCTTAGCTGATCATCTACTAAGATGAACTGTCTGTGCAAACACCAAACTGAGAAAGAAGTCATGCAAGAGCTATTGTGTTTGAGGCTCGCTGGTCGTTTAGAACAATTTCATGCAATAACTTTACAAACTTTACAAAGAACAACTGATATAATACTTCCTTATTCAGAGTATCCTATTACTCCACTTGGGTTTTGTTCTAAACAGGTCAGAGCAAGATATACCAATACACCAAAATTATACCACTGGGACAACAGCCTGTTGGTCTTGATTACCTGCGAGAAGCTCTAAAACCGAAGTTCAAACGCGAGCTGTCGGCCGGGCTGTGCTCTGTGCAGCTGCCGGCTGCCCCGCTCGCTTTCGGCCCGTCGGAGCGCGGTTCCGGTATGCGGCGGAGGCCGGGTCGCCCTGCAAAGGAAGTTGGGGGGCTGGGAGTAGCGCTCCGTGTGTCTGCGCTGAGGCGGCGGGGCTTATCGGGCGGAGCGGTCCTTCCTCGGGTGGCCTGCAGAAAGGCCGGGCTGCGCTGTGCCGGCGTGGCGCGCGGGGTGGGATCGAAGCTGAGACAGCCCTGCTAAGGGACAGAGCGCTGCTGAGCCGCTTAGCCCTATGGGGAGAGGTTCCCGCTGCTTCCTAACGAAGTTCAACAAGGCCGAGTGCCGGGTCCTGCATGTTGGCCACGATAACCCTCATGCAGCGTTACAGGCTTGAGGCTGAGTGACTGGTTGACTGTTAAGAGGAAAGGGACCTGGGGGTGCTTGGCTGAACACGAGCCAGCAGCATGCCCAGGTGGCCAAGAGGGCCAGCGGCCTCCTGGCCTGCATTAGAAATAGTGTGGCTAGCAGGAGCATGGAGGTGATCATCCCCCTGTAGTCAGCTGTGGTGAGGCTGCACCTCGAGTGTTGTGTTTGGTTTTAGGCCCCTCACTGCAAGAAAGACATTGAGGCCCTGGAGTGTGTCCAGAGAAGGGCAACAAAACTGGTGAGGGGTCTGGAGTACAAGTCTTGTGAACAGTGGCTGAGGGAGCTGGGATTGTTCAGTCTGGAGAAGAGGAGGCTCAGGGGAGACCTCACTGCACTCTACAACTTCCTGAAGTTCCTTGTGATGAGGAGGGGTTTGGCCTCTTCTCCCAGGCAACAAACAGGACTCGAGGAGATGGCCCCAAGTTGTACCAGAAGAGGTTTAGGTTAGACATAAGGAAGAACTTTTTCTCTCAGAAAGAGAAACAGAATTAGGATAGGCTAATGGCTGCCCAGAGTGGTGGCGGGGTCACCATCCCTGGCAGTGTCCAAGAGGTGTCTGGATGAGGAGCTGCGAGATCTGGTTCAGTGCTTGTGGTAGCAGTGGTGATGGGAGGGCGGTTGGAACTAGATGATCTTGCAGGTGGTTTTCAACCTTGTGATTCTATGATTCTAAAGCTGTAGTCCAACCCTGCTGCTGCTGCTCTGTGGCACGAAGCTCTGAGCAGTGTTCTGTACTGTTAGCATAAGAGAAGTCCGAGCCATGCAGTGTGATTTGTTACTGCTAGGTGAGACAGGATGCGCTTTGGTGAGGAGATGGGCAGTGCTGGAGCTGCCCCTTCTGCTTCTAAGAGTGTGTCCTACGTAGGATGTAAACCCTGCTGGCTCTTCCTCACTGCAGGTGCTTGGAGGATCTCAAGGTCTTGTGGAACTCAGGATGTCTGTCATTGACTACCCGGAAATTCTCAAGTACTATGAATTACATGAAACAATGGGAATGGGTAAGCGTGATCTTTGTACAAAACCAGTGTGCCTCGCAGTCTGACTCACCACTCTCTTTATCTGAGAATAGACTAACTGCTCTTATAAGATCCCTACGTCAGGTTTCACGTATATAAACTTGAAACTAAATTTTGAAACCGGTTGGGAATTGATTATGCTGATCACCTCTTCCTCTAATAAAAACATTACACACAGTGTATGCTAGGTACTCTGCTTTCCCTATAACATTATATTAGAGAAGAATTCACACTCAACTTTAAGCATTTTTGTTTTGAATGTTAGGTGGTTTTGCAAAGGTGAGACTCGGGCAGCATCTTCTTACTGTTGAAAAAGTTGCAACAATAATCATGGACAAAGTTGCTTTAGGGGCAAGCCAAATGATCTTTAAATATGATAACACCTTCTGTTGGAGTTGTGGAGTTCTCAAGAGCACAGGGAGGTGGTATATAGAAATGCAGCCTACTAGTGCCATTGCCTTTTGAAGGATGCTGTAGGGTTGGAAAAGTTCAGCAGAACACCACAAATCTTGTTCCTCATTGTTCAGAGGGCAATGCTCTCTGGCTGTAAAATGGAGGAAGTTCAACATTATTACAGCAACTTCAACAAAATGCTAATGAAAATACTGGATATTTTACATTTCAGCTTTCGCTGATCCGTGTTTTAGAATTCCTATGGGAGTAATGTCAGCCATTGCTGAGTTGATGCTGAATTGTGTACTGTCACATATGTGGTTTGACATCTTATGTTACGCAGTAGTCAGATGTGGTACCTGGTATGCCAAATTAGTTAGCAATTTCATAGCTTGCTTTTATAGTCTCTTAAGTATGACTTGCCTTGTGTTAAAACAGAAATTGATGCCATGAAGAACTTAAGTCATCAAGATGTTTGCCAATTGTATCATGTAATAGAGACATCAAAGAAAATATTCATGGTCTTGGAGGTAAGAAATAGTGTTTCCACCATGCTTAAGGCTACTGTTTTTATCTTTAGCAGTAGACAATAATATAAAAATGAAGCTGAAATGAAATGATTCTTAAATATTTCAATGGTGAATGGGTTCAAGATTCATTGGTTTTAAAATTAAGAATAAAATGTTATATATTCTGTATTTTTGTAAAAGGCACTAATCAGCATTCACAGTAAGTGAACTGGTTTTAATTCCTAACTTACACTTCAGTTTTTTAAGGTAGCATAAGCTGTAGATAATCTTGTACATGTATCACCTGTCTTATGCAAGGGCCTGTCATAGCAGCACTGGGCTGGCATGCCATTATCTCTTTGAAGGAACTGTATGTAGATTGAGGTTATGGATAAAACTAAATGAGTTTTGCAGGTGACATACAGATCCTGTGGTTGCATATGCTTGAACTGAATTGTTTCTAGATCTTGAAACTGCTTTCTAGGAGCCTTTACTTAATATGCCAGATGGGTGCTGGTAAGAAAGAATTCAATGGGAAGGGTGCCTTCATGATTCAAAGAGAATTACTTATCCTCAAATCGCTTTTCCTGGCCAAA